TAAATAATGAATCGTTAATAAAAACGTTCCATCAGTCATTTTAAAAAATATGTTTTTTCTCACTATAAATTTTTCTCATGTGTTCCAATTTTTTTTTGTCAAATGTTAAAATAATTTTCTTTAAATGTGCCCTCATTTAATTATTTTTCGTGTAATTCCTATTATATCAAAGATTATTTTTGTTAAAAAAAAATTAAATAATTGTATAAATGAATTTTCCGTTATTCGGTAAATAATAGGCTCTTAAGGTATCTCCAACACGCTAATATGAGCGGAGCATGTTCAAAAACTTGTAATAGAAAAAAGTAACGATAAAGAATTGACCTGGAATCATCGTACCACATGGCATTGACGTATTAGTACACTTGGGTCGTGGAAAAACTACGATCGGGATATGTAACACTGCCCATTAATTTATATACTGAGGGTATGTTTGTTTCATCGTATTAGAATATCGTATTATATACTAATACATTAATATAATAATTGATGTGATTATTGTATTATATAAATTAATAAAGATGATAAATTAATATGGTTTATGTCGTAGTTTAAAATACGACCAATTTTATGTATTGTATTATATTATATTATAGCGGGTTGGTGATCCATGTTGAAATTGGGTACGACTGAGGCAGTGTCAGACCGATACAAACTCATGACGGAACCTATGATTGTTTAAAAAAGAGTCACAATACAAATTTATATATTTTAAAAAATATATTTTGACCCCTCATTTTTTAAACTAGTTTGATCGATGATTTTAGTTTGATCGATGATTTTAGCCCCCCCCCCCCCCAAAAAAAAAAAAACTAGTTTAATTCACGTGCTTTCCACATGTGAGTTCTTTGTGGAGGTTGGATAACATAGTATTCGTAAGATAATAAATATTTATCAATTTTGATCTTCTTTTCAGGTTTATTTTGAAAAGAAATGTTTTATATTTATCAAGAATAGATACTAACAAAATAATGACTATTTTAAATAGAAAAAATAATGATAACGGTAACTTATTTTATCATATAGCGTGGTAATTTTCTGCATAAAATATTTAAAATAAATATTATATATTAGTTATGTAGGATTTTACAAGAGAAACCAATTTCAAGAAAAAAAAATAAAAACAAAAAAGATATAATGAAATAATTTATGACAAACTTATGGCCGTGTTTGGAATTGATCCCGTTTTTATTTTTTACGTTTTTCGAGAAAGAGAATAAAAACGTTTCTAAAACGACGTTTGGCACAATAAAGACAAAAAACGAAAATGAAAACGATTTTTTAGTTTAGCGTAAAATGAGATATAAATGAAAAACGACTTTTAGTCAGTTTTTGTTTTTTGTTTTCGTTTTCTCCTCTCTCGAGCAAAGAGAGAGAGAAAGAGAGACATTAATGAGTTTTTTTACACTGAAAATAATCTCTTGATAAAACTACCAAATGCATTTTCAAAAATGATTTATATTTAAGATTGAAAACGTTTTCATTTTCATTTTTATACAAAAAATAAAATTATTTTAAAATGAGTTTCAAACGTGCCCTATGAGTTCTTTTCACCAAATTTATATTTTAAAAAATTGTAAGTGATATAAAAAAAACGGAAATAGTAGAAAATAGGCCAATATGAAAAGCTTAAGAAAGTATATATGCCAACTTTTAGTTATAGAAGTTAATAGGTCATATCTTGTCAAGTTATAGTTCATAACCAGATAAGTTATTGACAAATTTGTCAAGTTATGGTTCATAGCCGGACAAGTTATGGACAAAAATAGACAATAACTTGTTAAGTTATGGTTTATAACCAGACAAGTTATGGATAAAAACAGTAATTTAGCCTATTTATTAACTTATGTAAATTATTGACCTATTAATTTTAATTCATCTCAAATTTTAGTTTATTTCTCTCTTTCTCCCTTAAAAAAAATAAAGAAAAGTATGAGGACAGAATAGGGAGACCAATGTTTTTGCGCTCATATATACATATAATATATATAGAATATAAAAATAGTCAGAACCACGTGCTTCACACTTGTATATAATGTGTTGAGTGTTTTGATACATAAATGTTTATTTTTTAAAGGAAGTAGTTTTTTTTTTTTTTTTTTTTTTTAAATTTGGTATTCTCTTTTAAGTTTAGTAGAAATATTTTATCAAGTACTAAAAAAATAGTTTAAAAAGAAAATGAAACATAAATACTTAACATTTAAAACTTAAAAGAAAAACAAAAAGGAATTAGTATATCTTAGATGTAAAAACCAACGTATACTAACTCGAAAAAAAAAAGATTTTAGAAGAGCTCTTTGAATATTTATGAATTCTTTTAATCCCATATTTGCTTTTCTTACCGATAGATTCAACGATTATAAATGTTGACTATCTTATCGTAAAAGGACCGAAATTTGGTGTTTTTTAATATTAGTTTCATTTATTTTTGAAACTATTTCTCTACGTCTTTTGGTGCATGCAAACAAAAACAATCTCTAAAGAGTATATCATTAGTAAATACTATGAGACGTTTATTTTACCGATTTGAGTTTAAAATTTAAATTTTACTACAGTAAAAGGCTCTCAGAAATAATTACATTTAACTTTTTTGTTACACTAAGAAACTCTCACGTAAAATTACATCTCAACTCGAATTAAAAACTCGAATCAGTGAGCTAAACGGACCCTATAAATAGTAATGAAAAAAATAGTGAGTGGTTTTTGTTTAAAGAAGTTGAATGTTGTTTTCACATTTTCGTTCTATTTTCTAGGATTATACTCAAGTCTCAACACGTGTTCGAAAACTTACTTAAATACAGTTTCACTTTTTTTGTACTTAAAAACAATCTTTAAGAAAATGACCCAACATAATTTCAGAAACAATTTCAACACTATTTTAAAAAAATTCTCATTTCTATTTTTGTACTTAAAACAAAACCAATTCTAAAAATATTTAGAACAAATAACACGGTTTACTCTAAATAAATCCCGTTATTCCCATAAAAATAAAAGAAAAGTAGCTACTTACTTCAATTATCTGCTATTTAATAGACTATTGGATACTATAGAATTGTTTGTTTCATATATTTAATCAAATCATTAATTTTACTACAATATTTTTCTTTCATAAAAAATTTAAATTTTAAACGTCATAATTAAAAAATATAATTTAAGTACTTTTTTTTTCATTTTAGAGGAAGAAAACACTTTTTATTTTATTTTCTCAAAAAAAAAAGAAAAAAGGGAAAAAATGGTGCTAATCACGTATCTTTTGTTTTTGTTTTTGTTTTTGTTTTTTTTTTGTTGTTTTGGCGTTTTTTTTATGTGGGCTATTACATTAACACTCCTGTATTTTTTTTTTTTTAAAATAACAGAAACATCCTTTTGATCAATACTAATCACATCAACACCTTTGATTTTTAAAAAAATTATAGAGACATCCTCCCTATTAGTTGACCTCCTCTATTAATTGACCGTTAAAGTTGACCGGAAATTGACAGTTAAATTTTTTTAAAATGCCAAAAATACCCCGCTATGCATCAAAAAATGTTTTTATCTACCTATGTTGCTGTAGGTGACGTTTTAACCCTTATTTAGCATGAAAAATTAAGTAGACGTTTAGTTCATGTATTTAGAATAATGATTTAAAATTATTATCGTTTTACGTGTATTTTTTGTGAGAGAAAAATACTGTAAAGAATAATGAATCATAATTCAGAATTAGAGACGAATACAGAAAACAAACATCTCTTAACTTTAATTGATTTTACACACTTGTGATCCTAATTTTCAATCTAATGACGGAAAAAAAACATTTTTATGTCATTTTTAATAATAGTATTATCAAATAATTTATACTTATAACATTATGAGATGCTGAGATATCTCCATCCACTTAGCATTCAAATAGGAACGTTTTATCCCCAAAATTGGAAGCATTATGTTGTGGAAAGTAATTAAATAAACTATTTCAATGATCTTATTTCAGCAAAAAAAAAAAAGTATTTCAATGATAAAAAAAAGAAAAAAACTATTCCATTATCTAAATTCTATCAATCTGATCAAAGACCAAAAAAAAAAAAAATTATTGTTCTAAAAGAATCAGGTACATCATATTCTCTAAAAAAAAAACATTATTCTAAAACAAATCAAGATCTCTTATAAATTAGGAAAAAACAACAAAAAAAAAAATCATCTATGATGGGCTGGGCGTGGGGAGCTGGCAAGGCGAACGACGCGGCAGCCCCGAGAAGGGGGAGAGCTGGACACGACTGGTTAGTGGGCAAGGGTGTGGGAATCGTATTTGGTGGATAAGGAGGCTGGTGGGGAAAAGAAATTAGGGTTTTTTTAAGTCCAAATAAGCATGAATTAGATGGCTGAGATTTGACACCATTAGGGCCTCGTTCACTTCACAGATTTGAGTTTTTAATTCGAACTGATATGTGACATTTTCTGAGAGTTTTTTACTATAGTAAAAAAAGTTAGATGTGACATTTTCTGAGAACTTTTTACTGTAGAAATTTAAAACTGAAAACTCGAATCAGTAAAGTGAACGAGGCCTAAATTAATGACTGATATTAAATGGGTATTTTTGTCTTTTTACATCCAAACTTAACAGAATTAGAATCAAGGAGAAATCAAGGAGTGTTAATGTTATTAATTTTGGTGAAGGAGGCGTGTCTGATATTTTAGCGAAACACAGGGGGACTGTTTGTTATCATTTTTAATCTCATTTTTTACGTTTTTTGAAGTAAAAAATTAAAAACGCATTTAGTGAAAGTTTTTCTGAAAAACAAAAATAAAACCCTTTTTGTCGTTCGGTGAAATTCTGAAAACGTAAAAAAGATGGAGTCTCCGTGTAATAAACCCTTTCTATCTCGCTTGAATTTATTCTCTTCCCGTTTTGCCTATAAATACTCTTTTTCGTTGTTTCCTTCTTCAGTTAATTGCTCTGTCCGAGATTCTTTCTGAGCAACTTAGCCAGTTACGAAAGGGGGGCTTTGTTTTGCGATTTTCAAATTATTATGCGTTGTGTGTAGTCCACAGGTTTGAATTTCTTGCTTTTCCATGAATTTTCCCACCTTCTTTCCTCCCTTTTCTCGGAAAAATTTTCATCCCTCTCCTCCTTTCTTCTAAGAACGCAAAACTGGCGTCTAAGATTAAAAAGAACCTTTAAAGTTCATCAGAAAAATCAAGATGTAAAAAAAATCCTTCTAGGTTACGAATTTAGGTGTTCGAAACCCGAATTTCCAATTATCGGAAAACTTGAAAAACCCTCCATTGCCACTTCGATTCTCACCGGCTATGTGTCCAGATTAAGCTCTTGATTTTACCTTTTTGTTGAAAATTACTTAAATTCTTGTTAATGATTGTTAAATTCTTGTAATTCATCAGAAAAATCAAGATGTAAAAAAAAAATCCTTCTAGGTTACGAATTTAGCTGTAATTCGAAACCCGAATTTCCAACTATCGGACTTGAAAAACCCTCCATTGCCACTTCGATTCTCACCGGCTGTGTGTCCAGATTAAGCTCTTGATTTTACCTTTTTGTTGAAAATTACTTAAATTCTTGTTAATGATTGTTTTGCAGAGCTCTTTTCACAAAATGGGTTATGGTTCTGATAGCGGTTCTCAAGATGGGAGGGACGAAGGTTAGTTCAACTTCTGTTGTCTGGCTTAGTTACATATGTATAGATATATGTGTGTGTGTGTGTATTTATATGCGGAAAATCCAAATCAGTTAGAGCTGCAAAGGGCGAATGGCAATCGAAAAACCCCTTTAAAACCCACCAAAATGAATAGCTGTTCATGGTCTTTCCTTTCTATGCTTACAATTTTGGGAAACCTCATTATGAGTTCTTTCACTTTCTAGTCTGTAAGTAGTATGATATTGGTTTCAAAATTTTAGTCTTATATTTGTTTCTGGTAGCGGAGCCAGAAATTTTTTTGGGGCATGAAATAAAGCCAAAATTTTGAATGAACAGTCCAATTATCTTTTTTCTAATTGTCTCTTAGGTCTTCTTTTTTTTTTTTTTGACAAAATTTTGAATGAACAGTCCAATTATCTTTTTTCTAATTGTCTCTTAGGTTTTCTTTTTTTTTTTTTTTCTAAAAAAAATCTTTTTTTATATTTCATTTTTTCTTCCAAATGAATCAAGCCTATGATCAAGTTTTATGTACTTTTTAAACTTTATAGTCTGCAAAATTATGAACTGATATAGTAGTGTAGTTGTGACTTTGGATTTTGTACTTTATCTTATCCATCAGAATCGTCAGTATGTCATAACACATTAGTTGTTTTAACTTTTTCAAACTGGCAGATGACGAGGAAGACTACGATGAGGGTGGTGGGAGTAATCGACTTTTGGGATTTATGTTTGGAAATGTTGATAACTCTGGTGATCTTGATGTTGATTACCTTGATGAGGTAACCTTTATCATCCCCTTAATATTACATTCATCTGTTTAGGTAATTGTATAAAGAAACAGACAATGAGAAAGAACTTACTTTTATGTGTTGCAGATTCCTTTTCTTTTCTTTCACGATCTTTTGTATTGTTGAATGACTGCGTTAATGGTAACTACTCAGAGAAAAACAGAGTGCTGTAACTAAGGTTATTAGGTCAGTGATTGAACCAATTGATGAAATGATAAATGTTTAATATCCCACCTTCTTAGAGAGATCTGAAATTGACCTTAGATATTGTTATATTGTTATCCAAAGGAAATCTAAGTGTGTATAAAAAATAAAAATAAAAAGTTTCTCTCTCTCTCTCTCTCTCTCTCTCTCTCTCTTCCTTAAATTAATTTCTGATTATTTATTTTTACAGAGGAAGCTAAACCTTGAAACAGTAATATCAACAACTTTTAAGAGTAATTTTGAAAAGTTAGTCACTTTCTTTGTTGGGTGCTGTTCATGGTACTCTTCATGGTACTAGTTGCAACCCCTGAAAAAATTTGATTGTCATTCTCATGTCAAATAATCTCTATCTCAAGAGCAATTTCTTAAAGCGTTATTAAGCACTATTCTATTCTCTTTTCCTAAAAGAGAAATCTTGTGAACATGCTTAGAGGGCCCGAGCATGAGACTAAAGACCTTGAAATTCAGGTTATTGTGATTACCCTCTCAGTGTTTATGCGTACTATATCAAGCCTTTGTTTGATAGCAGGCCTTTAGAGGAAAAGCCTCGTACATTTTCCTTCTGTTGTCTATCGCTTATCATTTTCCTTTTGTTGTCTATTGCTTAAGCACATCTTTTGTTCCTCCTTGGATATAGTCTTTATGCATGCAGCTTTTATACTTGTTGTGGGCTTGATTGTGCTAAATTTCAGCATTACACACTGTGCACATGGTTTTGTTGATAGGTTTCTGACCTTGATGCTAAAATATTGGTATACGGCTATGCTTTTCAGGATGCAAAGGAGCATCTTTCTGCTCTGGCTGACAAGCTGGGTTCATCTCTTACAGATATAGATGTATGGAACTCTCAATATCTGTTTCCCTTTCTAGATCTGTTTGAAGTTTATTCCCATGATTTTGGTCACAATTGGACAATGGTCTCAACTTTTTGTATGCAATACTTGAGGGACTCATAGTGTAACTTCTCTTGCTTTTGTTTTTGTTTTTGTCTTTGTCTTTGTTTCTGTTTTTTTTTTCTTCTTTTTGTTTGTTTTTTCCTCTCCTCTAATACTATGGGTTTGTGTGATTGCAGTTGTCAATAAAATCACCACAAATATCTGCTGATGTTGTTGAACAAGGTATTGTTGTTTGCGTGAAATTACAACATTGAATTTCTATTGTTCTTCATATGTTTTCGCATTTCATTGATTGCTCTCTTTGAAGATAAATGATATTCATTTGGTGTTGACAAATGTTCATAAATTGGTTTTTTGATATGAATATGATTTGGTAAGCAGAACAAAATATCTACCAAGTTAAGCATAATGGGTTAGAAAATGATAACTAATGGTTGCACTAATTTAGCAAAAAAGTGTATACTAATTTGGGATTAGTTATTGTACATGCAATTGCATGCACTGTCCTTCGCTTGTAATGTTTAAATATATCTAGTATTCGCTATGTAGCAAACTTAATTTTGTTGTCTTCTTGTCATGAATTTCAGGGAGAAAAATTTAAAATCTCAAAGTGTAGAAATAACACATTGTGAAATACCAAAGAAAGAAGATGAGACTCTGATAATATACTGTTGAGGAATATCTTACAGACCTTACAGACGTACTCCATCTTTTCCTTTAGTTTATTTAATCTATCTTTCTTGTCGGAGGCTATTAATATGCTGATGTTTGTTACTTTTCAGTTAAAAGAAACTTAAAAATAAGGATTACTATTTGTCATAAAAGATTAATCTTATTAGAATATTGAACAAAAAATTTGTAAATTTCAACAGAGCACAGTCCACAGTCCTGTGGCTCTTGCATTAACTGCAGAAGGTGTTAAGATGTCCGACTTCCTTTCCTTCCTTCCTTTTTTCAATATATTTTCCGGTTTGCTTTTTGTTTGAGGAGTGTGAGGCTTGATGTTACATAATCGGTTTTCCAAACACTTGAAGATGTCACTCAGTCTTCTGCCGTGCATGGTTATAGTTGCTCGTTGTTTCTCAGCTTTCCTGGATAGATTTCATTTTGTTGCTCTTATGCCAGACTATGACGAGAAAGCTGAAGATGCGGTTGATTATGAAGATATTGATGAGCAGTATGAAGGACCAGAGATTCAAGCTGCCAGTGAGGAGGACTATCTACTCCCCAAAAAGGAATTTTTTTCCACTGAACTTTCATTGGCTGCTTTGAAGCCTACAGCTTCTGTATTCGATGATGAAAATTATGATGAGGAAACTGAACAGGAAAACGAGGTGGTTGAAAACACTGTTGATGCTCAAACTATTATTGTTTCAGGTATAGTCTTAGTTTAATAGAATTTCTTATCCCTAACTTTCACCGGTTTTTTCCTTATTCTATATGTATATATCACTTCTGGCTGTTTCTCTTTTGCTTTGTATAGCTGATTTTCTTTCATACATCAGCTCTAGTCTAAAGCTTTTTCTAAAACCTGAAAATAGTTATTAGATTTTTGCTTTGGTTCCTAAAACTTCTAAAATAGAAGCATGATTGGTAACTAGATAACTGCTACATGCTATGCTTTAAAAAAAAAAAAAAAAAAGAAATTAGAAAGCTTCCTTTCATTGATGAAGATAATAAAAAACAAACAAAAGGGGATAAGATGTCCTCAGGCAACAAGACTAAACAAAAAACAAGACAAGCTGCAAGATAAGAGAAAAAATGACTGAAGAAAAGATGTTTCCAACTTTGTGAAAAAGTTGAAGATAAGAAATTTATGTTACACAAACAAATGCATGCCTATGTATATATGTATTAAACCAAGCCAACCCGGGTTTTGGTAGTTTGGTGTAGTAGTTTTAACCACATAGTTAATAATATTCTTACTATTTTTCTGTTCTTCCTATCTTAGCTTTGTCTTTTGACATTGGACTTATATTAGCATGCCACTGTCAGGTGAGCAGAGTAAGTCTCCTGAGGTGGATTTTACTATCGAGAAAACTTTTGAGGATGATCATCAGACCGTATCGCAAGATGCTGAAACTTTGGTCTCTGAAGAAGAAGAGTTTCAGGTTACTATTTTATTTTTTAATCTAATAATAGCTTATTTCACAAGCATGGCGTTCCGAGTGGTATTTATCATGTGTATACGTCACAGGGAATACGTTTCATCAATTATGCGTAGAAAGGGTGGAAGTGTATTTCAGGGTAAATATTTGATATGTCATGAGTATTTAGAAGCATTGCTTTAGCACATGCATATTACTTCAGTTTTGATTCCTTTGGATGCTATGTAAAAAGGATAAGAGTTAAAGGCCCGATTGGAAGGTATATTCAAACCATGATTCTTGATTTTGGCGTTTGAAATTCAAATTTTTTGTGAGAGGAAAACATTATAGCAAAATCAATAATTTGAGTTTAAGTATATGAAACAAACGGGCCCTAAAACAACTTGTTTGTAAATTTGTTTACTTAGTTTATATAAGAAAATTTCTTGTAAAATGTATAAGAAACTTGTTTATAATTACAAACAACTTGCTTGTAACTATTCCTATTGAATTCTAGGTTGATATCATATTTTTGGGTCTTTTGAGAGGGCCTTTGTCGTCTGGCGCCTGTTTTCTTTTTTACTTTAATAAGAAAAAAAAAGATTTCTAAGTGGGTTTCATCTGGCAGAAAATGCATGCGTGCTCTTTCTAAATACCAACCAATAAATTATGTGGTACAAATACTTGTATCAAGTTTCTCCAAGTCAACTACTAGTTGATGATTGCTTTATGTTCTTATTCATGAGCAAACAGGATGAGCTATCAGACAAAGGCTCCTCGCGATTGCCAGTTTTATGTATAGAAGATGAAAAGGTCATTTTACGGTTCTCTGAAATCTTTGCAATTCACAAGCCCCTAAAAAAGAGAGAGAAGAGAGATCATAAGTATTCTTTTCTTCGAGGTATGTCGCATATGGAAGAATTTTCCTTGACTAACGTCTACAAACATTAATTTTTACTTCTATTGTTATTAATGGCTATGATAGGGCTAAATTTGGATGCTTGTGCATTCTCACAATATGTTTTACTTTTCTTTTGTAAAATTTCGATACCAGTTTGGTTATCTTCCTGTTTGTAGGCATTGAAACTTATAACTGAAAAGTCTTGCGCTCATTGTAGCTTTGCCCTGTTTTGGTTGTAATTTGATGTTCTTTCTTATTCATCATTCCAGATAGGTATAAATCTACAGATGTTTCTATTATGGTTGAAGAGGACGAAGAGGAGTTTCTGAAAGGTTCAAGCCAAGGTTTTATATCATTGAAACAGGAAGATTTTTATAAGCATGAGAATGACGTCTCTATCTTTGATGACGATGAGTCAGAATCTGAAAAATCTGGTGCTTTTCAAGGGACTCCTGCAGCGGGTTCACATGATGGGCTGAGAAAGGACTCTTGCTTTCGTGCTGAGCCCATGAAAAAAGATTTACTTGCAGAAATTTCTGTTGGAAGGAAGTCACCATTAGGTCCTACATTGTATCCTCTTGATCAACTAGACTGGGAAGTTGGGATTGTCTGGGATAATTCACCTGTGGCTGAAAACTCTGTTGAGAACTGTAAAATTGCTGGACCTGATTTGGAAGCTTCGGTTGATAGTGACACAGAACCTGAGTCTGGAATGCAGAAACTTCTGTTAGAGCCGCTACCGGAAGCTGATGATAAACCTCAAGAGACTTTTTTTCATGGTTCCCCTGTTATATTGGAGGACTTTGGTTCAGAAACTTCATCAAGACCTTCAAGCCTTACATTTTCTGAAGGGAGATACCACCCTCAACTTTTAAGGCTAGAATCCAGATTGGAAGTGGATAACTTTAATCAGGATGATGGTAGAACGGATAAAGTTAATGAGAAGCAGCTTCACCAAACCAATGCTGTAAGGAACTTTAACAAACTTATATCACAAAACAGAGATATGCTAGAAGGATCTTGGTTGGATGCAATAATATGGGAGCAAGATACACATGTTCGGAAGCCAAAGCTTATCTTTGATCTTCAGGATGAGCAGATGCTTTTTGAAATTTTGGATGACAAGGATGACAAAAATCTAAGGCTTCATGCAGGTGCTATGGTTATAACTCGCTCTGTAAAGTCAAGCTACGGGGATTCTCTTGAATTGCCAGGTCATGGAGGACAATCTGGCTGGCGCTATGTTTCTAATGATAAACATTATTCAAATAGGAAAACATCTCAGCAAATGAAATCAAACTCAAAAAAGCGCACAGCTCAGGGCATCAAAATTTATCACTCACAACCTGCACTTACGCTGCAGACGATGAAACTAAAGTTGAGCAAGTAAGACTGATATTCATGATGCATGTCATTCTTTTATTGCTGCATTCTTTTGGTGGTGAATTGAAAATACATTCTTGATTTTCTCAAAATTCTAAAATGCTTAGTGATTTGGTTCAGTAAAAGAGTTGGTTCTTCTTTCTAGTAAAAGATTTAGTTCTTGATTAACATTAATGTTTACTGAATATTCATAGCAATTTACTACTATTTAATCATTTATACATAAAACAACTTTTTTTAATAATGAAATTTATTCATCTTAGTGATGCATGTTTGGCTTAAGATGGGACTAAGGCTTGTTGTTGTTGTTGTAGTGATGTTTGTTTGGTTCTTATGCTGAAACAACAATAAACAAAAGCATAATTGCACTGCATGACAAAAGTTTTAGTTTCTTTCTAGGCCATTTTAACCACTAGTAAATTATATCTGTTAGTTTACCAATCCATCTTTAAAACTTAAGTTGTTAGGAGGTGGGCCAATAATAGTTTTATATTTTAACACTCCAACAATAGTTTTATATTTTAAAACTCCCACTCACGCAGTCGTGTAAGTAAATTAATTGAGAAGCCCAACACGTGAATATTTGATAATAAGCCCGAAATATATTAAAGACCTAATATGTCATAACAATTTTAATTAAGGATAAAGAGTGCAATTAGGGGGGTTTGAACTAAGAACCTTCCACTCTAATACCATGTTAGTTTACCAATCCATCCTGAAAGCTTAAGCTGTAAGGAGGTGGGCCAATAATAGTTTATATTTTAACAATATTTGCTGCATTTTAATTTCTTTCAAGGTCTTTATTTCTGTTATTTTCCTTTTGAGTAATGTCAATTTCTGCTGAATAGAAGTCTTACATTCTGCTTTGCAGTAAGGATATAGCTAATTTTCATCGTCCTAAAGGTTTGTGGTATCCCCATGACAATGAAGTGGCTGTAAAGGAACAAGGAAAGCTCCCTACTCAAGGACCAATGAAAATTATTATAAAGAGCTTGGGTGGAAAGGGAAGTAAACTCCATGTGGATGCTGAGGAAACTATCTCTTCTGTTAAGGCAAAAGCTTCAAAAAAGCTAGGTTGTTAACTTGTTACTCCTTTTTGAATCTGCTTATCCCCTGCATCTGTTAGGATCTGTTGAGATTTTCTGATAAATTACATGTGGATCATGTTCTTGACAAAAATTTATTATTAGTCTGGAGTATTTAACTGGAACTCTTATGGTTGCAAGTGGTGTGTTGAGATTTTCTGGAATATTATTAGCAGAAATATAACTTGAACTCTTATGGTTGTAGATTTCAAGTCATCCGAGATGGTGACGATGTTTTATTTACGGAAAGAGCTTGAAGATGATAAATCTCTTGCTGCCCAAAATGTTCAACCAAACTCTTTGATTCATCTTGTTCGTACAAAAATACATTTGCTGCCAAGGGCACAGAAGCTTCCAAGTGAGAACAAGTCTTTCAGGCCCCCGGGAGCATTCAAGAAGAAATCTGATCTTTCCGTGAAAGATGGCCATGTCTTTCTAATGGAGTAAGTAATGTGGCAGAAATTATATGTGCATATGCATAATGTTCAATGCAACAATTTTACTAGCAAAAAGCCTCATACTAAATTATTCATTTCTCCTCCAAGAATAAGGAAAAAAGAAAGAAAGTAAAAAAAGCCCTACAAATTGCTTCCAAATACTTGGTCTGCTTCTCTTTCAGTACTGTTAAAAAAAAAAGGAATGCAAAATGCTTTTCTTTTCATTGGCAAAAAAAAAAAAAAAAAAAAAAAAAAAAAAAAAAAAAAAAAAAAAAAGAAAGAAAGAATCCCTCTCTATCAACCTGAAATTACTTCAATTTTCTTATGTCACCTAAAGGCCCAAAGGGGCCTTTTTACCATTTCTTGACTCCTTTATTAGAAAAGGAATAACCGATGCAGAAGCAGAAACCGAATATAAAAGAATTGGTTGGGGAACTTTCTTTCTATTTGGAAGAAGTAAACAAATAGGATTAAACGTGCGGAAACGCATCACAAGATTTTTCCATTTTGAACCATATTACCCAGACTCTGCACACGTCAAGTCCAAAGCATGTTCAATGAATTTGCTTCCCGGAGTCATTTTAAGGGGAATGATACAGTGCTTCACATAAGCACTAGAATCTAAACATAATGCTTTTCTATGAAGCATGTATTGCCCCATGTCGTCTTGCTTCTCAGTTGATCTGAAGAGGCGGGCCCAGAAATTATAGATGCTTCTTAGGTTTGGTAGATTTGATACTCTTTGAGAGTGATGTGTATCGTCTAACTTTATCAAAGTAATATTCTTAAAACAGTTCCAATGCGTGTCAATGTATACAAATTTTTCTTTGAAGTTCCTGTTAAGCAACTATTTTGGACAAGCTTGTGCTGCACAAACTGTTTCGTGTTACATGGATAGTAGATCATTTTTCAAGAAGACTTGCAAAATTTTTACTTTTAAGTACATCTTTTGTCGAGGGGAAATGAGTATATTGCGTCTGCATCCTCCATAAAGTTCTTACTTGGTTCTCAATTTCAAATTGTTTTGTCGTTAACTTCTTTCAAGTGTATGTTATGGAGATTAACCATAATTGTCAACTTCTCAGGTATTGCGAGGAAAGGCCTTTACTTTTGAGTAACATTGGGATGGGTGCCAGACTCTGCACTTATTATCAGAAATCAGCTCCAGATGATCAAACTGCATCTTTGTTGCGCAGCACGAACAGCAGCTTGGGACATATCATTGCACTAAACCCTGCTGATAAATCACCTTTTCTTGGAGATATAAAACCTGGTTGCAGTCAGTCATCTCTTGAAACAAATATGTATAGAGCACCTATATTTTCCCATAAGGTGCCCTCGACTGATTATCTGTTAGTTCGTTCTGCAAAGGGAAAGCTTTCCCTAAGACGCATTGACAGGGTTAATGTTGTGGGACAACAGGTTTGTTGTGCAATATTTATTGATGATTGTTCATATATCTGTTTATATGTATGAGATTTGGGGTTTTGAGTTGCAAGGTCACGGCATTTCTTTTGTTTCCTTGAAAAGTTTTTCCTTGCTGGATTTGATTTTATCACGTTCTTCACAATCTCATGACCTGTGTTGAGCGTGGGTACCACTTTATGAGACTTGCAGGTCTATTTTTGAGCCTTATAAAGCTTAAATTGACTCTCTTTTTTTTATGTTTTTATTTTTTAAGTTTTGGTAGCAATACTTAAACTGCGTACTTCCAGTCAACTCATAGTTTACGGAGACCATGTATATTATGAAGATTTATCCTGTTGAATTTAACATTTTACCTTGGTTGCTTTGCAGGAGCCTCTCATGGAGGTAATGTCTCCTGGAACTAAGAATCTTCAAAATTATATGATTAACAGGCTGTTAGTCCACATGTGCCGTGAGTTCCGAGCTGCTGAAAAACGCGGTTTGCTTCCTTGCATCCGCGCTGATGAATTGCCATCACAATTTCCTTATCTTTCAGAGGTTTTCTTTCGAAAGAAGCTCAAGGAACTTGCATATTTGCAGGTAATAATTGCGTTAGGTTAATTTGACATTTGCTATTATATAAATGCATCTAACAGAAGTTCGGCACATTTTTCTGATACAGTATATCACTTGTTGCTTAGTATTACATGCTTTATCCCAATCTGATTGTTTTTCAGTTGTATTATTAACCTACCTGAATGTTTTAAATGTCCCACATTTTAGAGAGGGTCAAAGGGACAATGGATTTGGGTTAAGAAACGCAATTTTCGCATTTTCTCGGAGGATGAACTGAGAAATATGGTTAAACCAGAGGAGGTGAGTCATACCATAAGTCCTCTGGCTTCTCAATTTATTTAGCTAAAGCTTTGTATTCAGTGTTATCTTGTGAGATGGAAGACTTTCAACATTTGTTTAAACCGTTTACGAGAATCTCAATATAATTCTTGTCCTTGTGTTCATTTCGTTTCCCTTGGATGTTTAGGTTTGCGCCTATGAAAGCATGCAAGCTGGTCTATATAGGCTTAAACATTTAGGAATCACTGAAACTCAGCCCTCTTCTATATCATCGGCAATGAGTCGTCTGCCTGATGAAGCCATAGCTCTAGCTGCTGCATCGCATATTGAAAGGGAACTGCAAATTACTCCTTGGAATTTGAGTAGCAATTTTGTTGCCTCTACACAGGTAAGATATCTAGTTGCTAATATCAATATTTTTTCCGCCTTCAAATCAATACTTACTTGTTTACATGGTTTTCCTTCTTAGTGGGCCAATAATAGATGTCACTCAGTTTTACTCTATTTAAGATTCACATCATTTTGAACGGTAATGGCTGGAGGGGTGACACTTCTGTCAACCATCGGGAATTTTCTTTTTCTTTTATTTACTTTTTCCCCTGTATTTATTGTTCCTTTATTAGCAGGGAAAAGAAAATATTGAGCGTTTGGAAATTACTGGTGTTGGTGATCCTTCTGGTCGGGGTCTAGGTTTTAGCTATGCCCGCGCTACTCCAAAAGCATCAGTGTCAAGTGCTGTGGTGAAGAAAAAAGCGGTTGCTGGTCGAGGAGGTTCCACTGTTACTGGAACAGATGCTGATCTACGTAGATTGAGCATGGAAGCTGCGCGGGAGGTTTGTTACTTTTTCAATGACATTGTAGTTTTATTTGACTGGTCCATGAGCATAATAGTCGTACAATTTTCTACCGTTGGTCCCTATTTACATGGAAATATAGCATTCTCTATCAACATCTTTATAAAACAAACAAAGGTCATATATCGTACATACACATTTTTAGCTTCATTGTTGAAGATTTCCCATGCCCAGATCTTCCTTGATCTTTGGATCTGGACGCAACCTGAAGCCATAAGATGGTCTTTCTACAGGGCCCATAGGAACAACAATGATTTCCAGTTTCTTATTAAAAAAAAAGGAATTCTATTCTCTTAGTTTCAAGCCCATACTTGATTAGTCGTACTCTTAGGTTGTCTTTGGTAAAGAGAGAAAGAAAATAGGAAGGAAAGAAAAGGATAGGTGAAGGAAAATGGAGAGAACCTTTCTCTTATTTGTTTTGGTATGGATTCCTTCCACTCATCCCTCTCTATTGGGAGAGATTAAAGTTTGCATTATTTGAAGGATTTGAAATCCCTAACCCATCCATTCCCTCCTCTTTACTCTCCTTCCAAACAACCATGGATCCCAAATTTCATCCACTAATCCCCTTGCCTCTCTACCTCCTTCCAAACAAGCTCTGAGTGTTTGTGTTACGATACGAGTATATTTTACCAACTTCGTAATTAATTTTGTTTATCGTATTATATTGTGTTCACTTTTTTGTGTCCCAATTTGCAGGTTCTTCTCAAGTTCGATGTTCCCGATGAAGTGATCGCAAAACAGACGAGGTGGCATAGGATTGCCATGATACGCAAGCTTTCAAGTGAACAGGCTGAATCAGGGGTCAAAGTTGATCCAACTACAATTAGTAAGTATGCACGTGGGCAGCGAATGTCCTTTCTTCAGTTGCAGCAGCAGACTAGAGAAAAGTGTCAGGAGATTTGGGATCGCCAAGTTCAGAGTCTTTCAGCCTTTGAAGGTGATGAAAACGAGAGTGACTCTGAAGAAAACAATAGTGATCTGGACTCGTTTGCTGGAGATTTGGAAAATCTGCTTGATGCAGAAGAATGTGAAGAAGAGGTGGAGGGTAATCATGATTCCAAGTATGATAAAGCAGATGGCGTTAAGGGCCTTAAAATGAGAAGGCGCCCATCATTAGCTCAGGCGGAAGAAGAAATTGAAGATGAAGCAGCTGAAGCTGCGGAATTATGCAGGTTGCTTATGGACGGTAAGGATAATCTTTTACTGGTAACAGGGAAAAAAAAATATGGCAGTTCTTCCCTATAGTCACTGAGTGGTTCTTATTAGACATTTGCCCTTTTTGGAGAAGAATAATGTGTTTTTATACATATAAAAAAAAGAAGGAAAATAGAAGAAGAAAAAAGAAGATAAGGATCATACTTTTATTTAAATTGGGATGCCTTAATGTTGTAAGTTAAAAGTTCGAATCAGGGAAAAAAATTTGGAGTCAAATGGAAAGACTAATAGTTACTGGATCCTGTGACACATCTGACGTGCCAGGTAAAGTTCATTTGTGGAAAGAACCTTCTGCCTTTCTGCATGCTGACCATAGTAGCTTTTTCACAGATGATGAAACTGAGAGGAAGAAGAAGAAGAAGGAAAGAAGTATGGGAGAGGGAGCAGGATTGACTCCAGGCTCTCGATCAAATTTGGGTTTTCAGAGCGCAGACCGTGTCAAGCAAATCACTATTGCAAACCAACCTGCTGGATCCTATGCTTCAATAGACAATACTGCTGTAGAGACAAAAGTGGTGGGAATGAGTTACTAGAAGCTTTGTGTCAAGCAATGAAATTTTCTATCTTCTCTTTGACTTTTTTTTTTTTTTTTTTTTTTTTCCAGTTGAATTTGAGTCTAATCATGTTGATAATTCTTTTACAACCTTAAAAAAAAAAAAAAAAAAAAAAAAAAAAAATTGAACTGAAGATGGCCTTGATGTTGTGGTTGCAGGTAGAAAATCTTCTTAAAAAGAACAAACCTGGAAAAATGAAGGCAAAGAAAAAGAATGATGATATTGTAGATATGAGTCTTACGAATAAGAAAATCAAGATTGCAGTAGATGGAGTCAAGGCAAGTGCTATTTCCCTCTTATTTAATTTATGCTCAAAATATTATTTCTTATCCGTTGATCTTTCTTTCTTCATCTTTCCCTTCTTCTTTTTTTTTTGCTTATTATTTCATACATGTGCTCGTTTCTTTCCTTTTGTCTTTTCACTCATGGTATATCTTATGGGAGTGATGGTGGATAGGGCTAAGGCTTACTCTGGAATTGATGATTTTTTTCAGTTAAATTATAAGCTTTTGATTTGGTTTGGTCAATGCATGGATTTTTTCTTTTAACAATCCTGTGAGTGGTCATAGCGTTTGAGCAAAAACTAATGCATTTTTCTGTTTTCATTTAATTGGTTGGTAGAAAGGGAAGGAGGATTTTTTTCCTTATACCCTTTTTGAGTAAGGAGTAGAAGGATTTTTTAACTTAGTGAGGAAGATGAAGCTTCTTCTTGTGACAGAATTGGGTTTTTGTTATCTTTCTGGAAGAGTAGTTTGAGGGAACTACCCATTTTACAATTTTGTTCTGTTAAGAGTGCTTTCCTTTAGTTGTTTGTTTTTGTTTTACTTGACGGCATGCTCGTCCTCTTTATTGTACTTCTGTTTCTTCATCCATAAAGAAAACAAATCAAAAGTTGCTTGGTATTCTTATTATCAGTTAGTTTGGAAGAACTTGCCTAGGTTTGTCTACTTTTCTTTAGGCATATTTTTCATGTTTTTCTTTGTTTATTCTACAGAACTGCATGCATGAGGTGGTCTCATTTTGTCTCATTTTGTTTGGATATGTGAGATCTGTTTCTATTTTTATTTTTGCTCTTTAAATTCTCCTTAATTTATCTTCCCTCACCAGACGTTCAAGGAAAAAAAGTCAGCTAGAGATAATTTTGTCTGCGGGGCATGTGGTCAGGTAAGTTAAACTTTCTTCTTCTTCATCATCCCCATCCAACCCCTCCCTCCCAAATGAAGCTGAAATAGTTTTTTATTTATTTTTCTGGGTGATTCTTTGGTTAATGTGATTGCTTACAATTGTTCGGCTTTCAACCTATCAGCTTGGACACATGAGGACAAACAAGAACTGTCCTAAATATGGAGAGCTCGACACACATGTTGAAACTCCAGATCTGGAGAAAGTGCCCGGAAAATCCACTACACTGAATGCATCTGGTCCATCCCCGATAAAAACTGTGACAAAGAAGCTCATACCTAAAAGCGCAACCAAAATAGCACTGGTTGAAGCTTCTGAGGGAGAAAACTCAAGTCCTAGCACAAAGGTCGTTCCCTTGAAGTTCAAATGTAGCTCAACTGATAATGTTCCTGAGAAGTTTACCCTTGGACTGACACAGATTACCGATCAACCCATCACGTCCGATGCTGAAACTGGGAAGTCCACAGTTAAAGTTAACAAAATAATAATTTCTAATAAACAAAAAACTGAAGACGTGCATGTTGGATCTCATAAACCCCCTATTGTGATTCGGCCCCCAACGGACACAGACAAAGGCCAAGGTGAATTGCAGAAACCAACTATTTTTATAAGACCACCTGCAAATACAGAGCGGGACCGGGTTGAATCTCATAAAATATCAAAACGGCCACCAAAAGAACGAGAGAGAGAACAATCTCATAAGAAAATCATAATTAAACGGCCAAAAGAAGTTATTGATCTAGATCAGTTCAGTCAGCACGGAGGCACAGGTATTGAGCATAGGAAGACTAAGAGAATTGTAGAATTGTCGAGTTTTGAAATGCACAGAAAGCCGGAGAACATTCATCCGGCTCAGCTATTCAAAAAGAAAGCTAAAGACAACAGGAAATGGTTGGAGGAGCAAGAGAAACGCAGAAATGAAGAGAGACTGAGAGAAGAGAGAGCAAGACGATTTCGTGAGGAGGAAATGAGGATGCTAGAGGAACAAGAAAGACTAGCGGAGATCAGAAGATTTGAAGCAGCCATGAGAAGAGAGAGGGAAGAAGAAGAGCGCCAAAAAGCGAAGAAGAAGAAAAATAAGAAAAGGCCCGAGATAAGTGATGAATATATGGAAGACTCAAGATCAAGCAGATTTGAGAAGAGAATGCCAGAAAGGGAGCGTAGTGCAAAACGAAGGCCCATTGTTGAGCTGGCAAGATACGGAACTGACAATGCTGCAACAACAAAACGAAGGAGAGGAGGAGAGGTAAACTACCATGCTTACCTTTATTTTAGTTTTCTCCTTGCATGTACATTTGTATTCCAACAGGTCATGCTACACACTTGGGCACATTTAGTTGTTGATAATAGAATGTAATTAAGTAGGGAAA